AACTATTCTGTTGACCACATCTCCAGGTGAGCTACAATGCTTCTGCACTATTTTCTAAATTTAAAAAAAATATTTTCACATGATTACAAGTTACAAACCCTGGCATCTTTAGCTGATATGTTCTGTTTGATGCCTGATGTCGCTACACAGTGAACATGTGCATGCTGATGGCAATAAAGCAATAATGGAATTTGTTATTATTTACAAACTTGAATATATAAATTTGTTCTGATAGTGTGTCTCAATGTCTCCTATGTTTGAGCGTTTATCAGTGTAGGAAAGTTTAATAAATATATGCTTATGATGTATACACGTGCATGGTCAGATTAAACTGGCAATCCGATACATAGCAATCACAGCTAACTGCTGCAGCTTGAATGTAATATATTACCATACTTCCTCTATTAGGCGTGTCTCAAGTTCTGTTAGAGGCCCGGTGTCTTTTCTGTTTAATGCTGGCACAGTGGCAACTCACTACCTCACCAAAGTCTAAATTCTTCCGTCATACAAGGGGTACATTTGCAGGAAACAGTCATTGCATTTGCCATAAGTTAATGTGATAGTGATAATTAATTTCATCAAATGATGGACCCGACCCCTCTAAGAGACCTGGCTCTACAATTTCTTACCTGGTGGCAATCTAATTGAGCCCCAGCATCTATTTGAGGAAATAGGGTGACTGATGTTTTTTGTCTCAGCATTGTGAAAATCATATACATAGTATACATAGTATTCGCAAATTGTTGGGATTAGCGTCTTTAGACAATTTTGTGTTATCTGTGAAACAGAAGTGGTATCAGCGAACAAGCTGATAGGGATTTGATAATTTGTTTAATAAGTTTAACGTTATTTTTATTTCCAGGGACGAGGACCTCTTGCAGCAGCTTTGAAGGCAAAGTTTTTTGGGTTTCGGAAGATTTTTGCAGCAGATGCCACTTCATCCCCTAAACAGAAGCCTGTTCCAATACAAGACCAAGACCCGCTCAAAGTAAACAAGCGAAAAATGAGTCAGGTGAGAGCACCTCCATGAAACAACTGAAATACTGTTTGAAGCAGTGTTAAACTTCACTTGCTCGCTCACTCACTCACTCACTCACTCACTCACTCACTCACTCACTCACTCACTCACTCACTCACTCACTCACTCACTCACTCACTCACTCACTCACTCACTCATGTATATGATCTTTTGAAATGAATACCTTACAAGTAATTTTGTGGCATTCCGTTGGTTTCTATCCATAAACCAAATTTCTTTAGCCGAGCCCACTAACATAGTACTGTTTCCTGATTGGCTGACAATAGAATGGGAGGGGCTTGTGTTGCATTATTGCACTGAACGATGTCACTGAGCAGTCTGGGAAGTTATTATTGTTGACATTTATTTCTAATGTTTTCGGACGTTTATGGAATTATTAATGTAAAAACACTATATTTACACTTCACTAAATGCAAATATACATTGAAGTCAATTCAGAAGTCGACCCGTGAAGATCCGGGGTAGAATAGGTCTTCGGCAACCCATGCTTCCCGTAAAAGGCGACTATGCTTGTTGTAAAAGGCGACTAACGGGATCGGGTGGTCAGGCTTGCTGACTTGGTTGATGCTTGTCATAGATCCCAATTGCGTGGATCGATGCTCATGATATTAATCACTGGATTGTCTGGTCCAGACTCGATTATTTACAGACCGCTGTCATATAGCTGGAATATTGCTGAGTGCAGCGTTAAACAACAAACCAACCTACCAACCAATGCCAAAGTCAGGGAGTTTTCTTCACTGTTATGCACCTGGAATCCCCTCAGCTTCGTTTGAATAAAGAGTCTGTATGCAGGACACAGATCAACGTTCATCCACAATTATCCTCGATATGACATCTCCATTCTGTTAGGATAAATGCCCTTAACCCATTTACTACCTCAGCTCTGTTTTGAACTTAAATGGCCACATCTGAAAGCAATCAGATAACACTCATGAGAGAGAGAAATATTGTGCTATGTTGGTGATAAGATTTATTTGTTTGATTGTAGCTTTGTTGTTTAATGTCACACTCAGCAATATTCTAGCTATTCATTTAGGAGATAAACATACTGTGTTTTTCGATGTAGAGCTAGGTTATCTGTAGATTTAACCACGCTAAATTGAATTTGGAACCGAACGCGCAGCGAGAGGTTTCAAAAGTTAAATATTGCTCATCATAAGCGCCAAAATTCCAAGCTCTCCAAAACGTAAATACATTCCCTTTGTAGATTTATGTTGTGTTTTCTGCGCAAAATGTATTGCCACACATCCTTTGAATATTGTAGTAACCGCATCTGTTCATTTTGTAACCTGTAATTGTAAATATAATTATTTAAATATGCTTACCGACAATGACTGAAAAAAGTACTATTCTATTAATATAAGCTTCCGTGGTGATGCGGCCGTCAAACCAGCTGTTTCAATCAGAGGGGGTTTATTGTCTCTGATTGACCAATCAGAATCGAGTAAATTCCAAATTCATGGTAGAATATATATTAATATCCACCAATATTCCGGCGGTCTGTAAATAACTGAGTCTGGGCTGGACACTCCAGTTATTGACATCAATGAGCATCAATCCACACAAATTGGGATATGATGACATGCATCAACCAAGTCAGCGAGCCTGTTACTTGCCGCTTACGACAAGTATAGTTGCCGCTTACGGCAAGCATGGGTTGCTGAAGACCTATAGTTATAAGGAAACAGAGATGGTGGTGAATGGGTCAAGGGTATACATCTTAACAGAATGGTGATGTAAAACACACTGGCTAATCAAGATTGGTCAACATTGTCTGATGATTATGGTGACAATTAGGCATTTCGGAAATCTGTACTTTTTGGTGTAAATAATTTCAACACAGCAGAAGGTGGCATGTGTTTGTCATAAAATTGTCCACAGGGTCATCTCCTGATGTTTTTTTTTAGGCTGCCATGTTGTTGGCTTTTGTTGTGGAAGATTTATTTGTGGAAATGTGGAACTTTTTGTCTTGAGTTTCAACGATGAATGTAACCCGAAAACACCATCAGTCAAAATTATACTTGTTCATTTTTTGTATTTTGTGTTATCACTTCTTTTATCAGATCAGATTAAAGCTAAACCAGGCATTTGCAGCAATTCAGAAGTATGTCCGCCATCGCAGCGATCCAATTCAGGAGGAGGTGGAGGACAGACAGAAGGACTGGGATACCGTCTCTAGTGAGTTGCTTCTGCCTCTTTCTCTCCATTAAACCTTTAGCATCCGTCATGGAGAAATCATGATCATCTGTTTGTTCCGGGAGTTGATTCTACTTCCCGGAACTGATTCAAGGGATGTCTCTGACTTCAAACATGTTAAGGTTGAAATGTAATTTCTTTATTATTTTAAATAATGATGATAGTCGGGTCAGTTTACTTGTTTAAAATGTACATTTAGAATGGCCAGTGAATTCTGGCTCAGAATCAACTGCAAGAACAATAACACAACGTCATCATTATGGTTGAATAACAGAGAGTCCAAACTGTAAGCCTCAGATATATTTCCAGTGTTTAAGACTAAGCATGAAAGTTAAAGAGTCCTTGTGAACATTGTAATGTAAATTGTAGACTTGGTGGATCTTTAAATCGTATAATAAAATCAAATCGTATAGCAACGTAACTCAAGGTCCCCAGGGTCCTCCATAGTTTAATGCATTATCGGACACATTATGTTACTTATAGGGCCATTTTGGGAGTCTGGGTTAGAATAGGTCCCCCGCAAGCTATGCTGGTCATAGGAGGAAACCAAATGGATCGGGTGGTCAGCCTCGTGACTTTGTGTGTCATCGTTCCCAGATGGCGTGGATCATTGTTCACAATATCAATCACTGGATTGTCTGGTCCAGATTCAATTGTTTACAGGCCACCGTCATATAGCTGGAGAATTGCTCAGTTTGGTGTTAAACAACAAACAAATGAAACTTACAGGAATATGGATACACATGAAAAAGGTGAAATTAAAATTTAGAAAATTTCACTAAGCATTATAAATTTTGCTAATAGCTAGTCTGTTCCAATTTTCCCATTGTTTTCATTCTTTATTAAAAGGCCCATATTATTGTGTGGTTGTATGAACACATTGTCGCAAATAATCAACGATGACATTATTCATTCTTCACGACGTCACACACTATTTATGTGATGTTGTTCCAACAATTGACACACTGAGCTGCTGTCTCAAGGTGATACAGGGAAACCCACATAAAGCATGTTTTGTTTTACTTGATGGCTTGACATGTCTAAGGTCCTGCCAAACAGATTTCACAAATGCAGAGTTAATATTTAGGTTTTTCTTCATGTCTTAACATGATTAGATATCGAAAGGGAAGTAACTCTGTGAGCTGTCATTCAAAGCAACAGTCGAAGTACATGTAGCAGAAATCCTCCATTTCTATTTATTTTTACATCCTACCAAAAATATATAATGATAACTGAATAAAAAAAATCACAATTTAAGAATTGTTATTTTAAACACCCTGTTCAACATGTTGAAGATAAAATATGTTTTGTAAAACAAAGCAATAAAACATGCTATGTGCAGACCGTATGTAATAAAGATTAATGAATATATCTTACAAAAAGTGATAGGCCTTATCTACATCTGGGTCACCTTATCTACATCTGGGTCACCTGACCTAATTCTGCTGACATGACATAACATCATGAACTGTGTACCACCTACATTACCGGTATGTTGTAATGGGCACGCAAGTAATCCTCCAGCCAGTCAAGCACGACGTGATTCACCTGTATGTTTGAATGGATGAATCACCACCTCTAAGGGTGGTGTGTTCACTGCATGGTGTATCTTCATATTTTGTAGAGTACTGGGAGCTGTTTTTCTGTATTGGGTTGGCGATCTGAGATAGGGAGAGTTTAACTCATGTTGGAGCTGGATTTGATGTTGTTGACAGAGGTTTTGTGATAGGGTTGACAGTGATTTTGTGGTAAGGTTATTGAGCTGTAGTGTTGGTGTTAGTATCTTGTGATAGGTAATATGTATATGATGGGATTTTTGTAGAGGATATTATCAAAGTACACGATTTATTTGTATAATTGCCCTTGTTTACTATTTGTTACACTTACCTGTTTTGTCATAACTTCTTTGATAGGCATTTAGAAGTTGGAGAACTAAGTGTTTTGTCATGTTAACATGAGACTGGATTTTGTTTTATTGAATGTACACTAAGTATAAGGAGTACAAAGAAGTGTATTACAATAACAAGGGGTATATCATCAGGTATTGAAGGTCAAAGGTAGATCGGTATTAACCACGCTAACCCTTTACACATCGTTTGTTTTACCCTGTTTATGTTAGTCATGAAAAATAACATCGGCCCCTTGGGCCATGTCAGACAAATTTAGCCCTCTCTGACCTTTGCATTTTCAATAGCCTCAATCATTTGAGAAGCTGGTCCACGACAAGATCTTTGTGTGAATTCTTAAGGTAGCTCCAATTAAAGCAAACTGTCATCGGTTATGTTTGCTCTTGCCTTTCAAGGGTTAAGTTCTTATCAGGTCAAACTCACACTCTTGGGTATCACTATCAAAAAAGTTTCTCAGCAGGCTATAACAATGAATGTCTGAGATACTGTATGGATGATTGTCCCAAGGCTGGTAGTTAGGACCGTAGTGCATTCTGTAGTAATGACTTGTGCTGAGGAGAAATTTGATAGTACTTGACGATGACATTGCCTTGTCCTGATTTGCCTTGGATCTGATGTTCTAGTGCACTGTGAGGATCTTCTCTGTGTTTGTGTGGACGTGTTCATGCAGTGTGCATGTGAGGTACTGTATCGAGGCCCTTGTGTGGGACACTATAGCTGATGTGCTGTGTGTCAAATATTAGTGACTCTGTCCTATGTGTTATCTGCACTTGTTTTACAAGATACCAGCATCATGACCCTACAGTTAGTCTATTTGATTGTTTACTTAAGGAGTCTGTATACATGTTTAATCAGTAGAAAGATCGGCAGCATTGAGTGACAGTTGCCTTTATTATGCAGAGGCAAAGGCTTGACATTCAACAATGAACTGTTTGAAGGAAAAACAACAGCCTGTTAATATACTTGAGATTTGAGTACTTCCATATATTAGGCTTATGTAACAAGTTGATTGGATACAGAGCTGTGACCTTGTGACGTTCTCTGCATTAGGAAAGTGTGTTTGACAACATGTGTCACAATCCTGCTGCATCTAACACCAGATGACATAGGGACCAGGCTTCACACATTTTACCCATTTGGGGAATTCAGACAGGGTCATCTGTGTGACACTCTTCGCATCACGCTAAGCGACACCCTTGAGCGATGCTGAACAGCTACCTGCGGGTCCAGTCTAATGCTTGAAGAGGAAGAGAGTGCTGTTAGTGATGGCTTATGAATACCAGCAGAAGAAAGTCCGGAAGACTGGTCAACTTGGGTTTCATGTCAAATCTGGTACCATTCATAACAAAGAGGTTCCAGCATTGCTATCACCTACCAAAAACAATGGACATTACTTGAAGCCTGTTTTTGGCAAGGTCAGTAATGGATGTGGTATTCCTCGGGATGCTGATGGTTATATGTCATCCTTTGCTAAAAGGAATGGCTCTGGAGCAGTATCTTCCCAAGGTGCGGAAGCAGTGTCTACCCAGTGTACAGAGTCAGGTTCTAGACAATTCGGTAATGGTTTTACGAAGAAGACAAAGGTCAGTGAAATTGTATCAAAGATGGACTCAGGGCAAAATGGTAAATTGCGGTCACAAATAAAAAGCATTTCCACTCCAAATTTGATAGATATTTCAGAGAATAATTCCCATGGCCAAAATACAAGGACAAGACGTAAGTCCCTGTTTAGTGATATTAGTGTGAAAGAGAAAATAAAGAAATGGGAGAAGTTTAACGAAACTTCAGTCAACACATCATGCATCACAAAGCAACAGAAGCATGAGATAACAGGAGGAGGAAACCTCAGACCTGCCCATCCACATGTATTTGAGAGGGTCAGTGGAGAATATGGAGTTGATAAACAAGTGTCACAGACTGTGGTAGATCAAAGATCACATGAAGGAATAAAGGTAGATCGAAGATCTAATGACTGGACTAAGATAGATCGAAGGTCTCATGAAGGAACTAAAGTAGATCAAAGATCGAATGAAAAAACTAAGTTAGATCGAAGATTTAGAGATTGGGATAAGGTAGACCAACGATCTAATGATTGGACTAAGGTAGATCGAAGATCTCAAGAAGGAACTGAGGTAGATCGAAGATTTAGAGATTGGGATAAGGTAGACCAGCGATCTAATGATTGGACTGAGGTAGATCGAAGATCTCAAGATGGAACTAAGGTAGATCGAAGATTTAAGGATTGGGATAAGGTAGACCAACGATCTAATGATTGGACTGAAGTAGGACAAATATCTCATGAAGGAACTAAATTAGATCGAAGATCTAATGAGTTGACTAAGGGAGACAGAAGACCTCTTGAAGGGACTAAGGTTGCACATACCTCAGACGGCAGTGAAACATATTTATCAACAGGAAGCAGTCAGATATTATACAAACCATTGAATTCATTTGGGAACTATGATGAATGGAAACCAAGCAAAAAATTAAAGCATTCAAGTTCTGAAGAAGTTAAGTCTCGTGTTTTCCATGGCAATCAGCTTGAGGATCAACGAAGCCATACCTGGGCACCTCAAGGTAGCAAATCAGGTCTTTCAGGAACATCTAGATCTGACACAATAGTGAAGGAGAAAGCAAAAATGAAATCTTCTAGGAGTAAGTTCTATGTTTCTGTGGACGATTCTGAGGATGTTGATTTGGATTATGAAGTTGGCCCACCTTTGTGTCGTTCTATGAGTGAACCAATTCTTGACAAAGTTGATGAAGGAATATCACAGACCTCAAAATCAATTCTTTTGGATATAAATTACACTGGTACTGACAATACTGATGGGATCTATCAGAGGGAGAGCATACCTTGCCGAGAACAAAGATCGGGGTCATTATGTAGTGATGGTCATGTGACAAATAATGATTCTTCTAGCCATATTTATGCAACTCCTTATCACAACACTGACAGTCACAGGAAACAGTATGGGATAGGAAGCCAAGATAGTTTAGGTGAGTTCACCAGTATGGCTGTCAGGTTACCATACCTTGTGTATGCAGGGTTAGAAATTAATATATATTTTCACAGGTCTACCAAAAATGATCTACTACAGAGTTGCCATCTACCTAACGGTAAAAATGGTACTCACAAGAAAAACAGCACCAGTCCTTCCTGAATTATATCAGTATCAGACGAGCAAACTTACATTACTGTCAAAACCTGGCATGTCAACTTAACAAGGATTTCTCTGGCTGTGATGTCGCTATACCTTGTGTATGTCAAAGCAGGGACCTGGCTGTGATGTTGCTTTACCTTGTGTGCGTCAAAGCAGGGACTTGGCTGTGATGTTGCTATACCTTGTGTATGTCAAAGCAGGGACCTGGCTGTGATGTCGCTCTACCTTGTGTATGTCAAAGCAGGGACCTGGCCGTTATGTTGCTATACCTTGTGTACGTCAAAGTAGGGACCTGGCTGTGATGTCACTATACCTTGTGTATGTCAAAGCAGGGACCTGGCCGAGATGTTGCTATACCTTGTGTATGTCAAAGCAGGGACAAACCTGACAATCAAGTAATAGATGGCCAGAAAATCAAGTATCACAACTTTGCATTTATGGATTTTGTTGAAACAAAAATTATATGTCAACTTTGAAATATGTCTGCCGTGTACAAGTGGGACCGTGTACCTTGTGTGCGTCAAAGCAGGGACCTGGCTGTGATGTTGCTTTACCTTGTGTGCGTCAAAGCAGGGACCTGGCTGTGATGTTGCTATACCTTGTGTATGTCAAAGCAGGGACCTGGCTGTGATGTTGCTTTACCTTGTGTGCGTCAAAGCAGGGACTTGGCTGTGATGTTGCTATACCTTGTGTATCTCAAAGCAGAGACTTGGCTGTGATGTTGCTATACCTTGTGTATGTCAAAGCAGGGACCTGGCTGTGATGTCGCTATACCTTGTGTATGTCAAAGCAGGGACCTGGCTGTGATGTCACTATACCTTGTGTATGTCAAAGCAGGGACCTGGCCGAGATGTTGCTATACCTTGTGTATGTCAAAGCAGGGACAAACCTGACAATCAAGTAATCGATGGCCAGAAAATCAAGTATCACAACTTTGCATTTATGGATTTTGTTGAAACAAAAATTACATGTCAACTTTGAAATATGTCTGCCGTGTACAAGTGCGGAGATTCACATGATCTAGATGTCTCATTGGAATCCACTTGTTGCACATGACTCCAGTGTTGTGAATACCACTACAGCATCTTGATTGAACATATCTTACAATGTAAGCACCTAGGAGAAGAAAATCAAAGTGACTTTATAACTAGTGCAATAATGTAAGCGTCATTTGGGCCTAAAGCTTGATGGCTAAATTATGTAAACAAGGAGCATGTATTAGTTTTACTATGCAGTCATCTGCACATATTTAAATATACCAGAGAATAATACAAAATTGCAACATGTGCTGGAGTTACACATGCGACCAATCATCGTAGAAAAAACAACGCAAGGTTGATTTTGAAGGCCTGTACAGGGGGGTCGTCTTATACACAGCGATATGGTATGTCTTGATTATCTGCTGAAACAGGGTCCATTGGGGGCAAAAAGCAAAATAGTGGTGAAAATTTATATAGTGATTGATATATTTGTCCATGTGTGATGAAATATCTTCAGTGGACTTTTGACATTATTCATATTATAGATGGGTTTGATAGACATAATATAGAGGAAATGTACAAATTATCACCAGTTTTTTAGCTTAAAAATTGAAGCTTTACTTTCTAACCCTACTTTTCCCTGGATACTTTATGGCACAGCTTCAAGGTCCATAGAAACTTCTTATATTTCTAACACAGATCACCTTGTGACCTCCATTATTTACCTTAAGATTTTTTAAAATTACTTTAAGATTTCTAATAAGAAAATATAGATAATTCAATATTTATTAATATTTTTCGAGCTACCTCCCTTAAGTCTTCAACTTCTCAGAAAATAATGTGCCAAGGAAATGGCAGACATGGTTAACTTGACATCAGACTTATACAAAGCCAGGAAATCTTCATTGTTGGAAATACTTGACATAGGTAAAATATGTATTGTTTGTTAGGCAAAACTTCTTTATGATTGTTTTACAGCTTCCACTGACCCTAAAAAGACACAAAGTAGAGACACTCCTGAAAAACACATTTTTGATTATGTTGAATTCAAACGTATGTGTTCACAACCAAAATGTTTTGTATGCAGCTTGCAGGATAAACTTAACTACCGCTGTTCACATGGCAACATATTCAACCTTTGAAAACAATAATGCCCAGGATATTCACCAACAATTTTGTAAACCTGGAAAGAAAAAAGCCTGGCCTAAATGCTTTTGAAGTCGCCGACCCTAGCTCTGGTGTTATAACACTGATGGGCATTCAGATGCAGACCCTAGCTCTGGTGTTATAACACTGATGGGCATTCAGATGCAGACCCCAGCTATGGTGTTATAACACGGATGGGCATTCAGATGCAGACCCTAGCTCTGGTGTTATAACACAGATGGGCATTCAGATGCAGACCCCAGCTCCGGTGTTATAACACGGATGGGCAATCAGATGCAGACTCCAGCTCCGGTGCTATAACACTGATGGGCATTCAGATGCAGACCCCAGCTCTGGTGTTATAACACTGATGGGCATTCAGATGCAGGCCCTAGCTCTGGTGTTATAACACTGATGGGCATTCAGATGCAGATCCCAGCTCTGGTGTTATAACACTGATGGGCATTCAGATGCAGGCCCTAGCTCTGGTGTTATAACACAGATGGGCATTCAGATGCAGACCCCAGCTCCAGTGTTATAACACGGATGGGCAATCAGATGCAGACCCCAGCTCCGGTGCTATAACACTGATGGGCATTCAGATGCAGACCCCAGCTCTGGTGTTATAACACTGATGGGCATTCAGATGCAGACCCTAGCTTTGGTGTTATAACACTGATGGGCATTCAGATGCAGACCCTAGCTCTGGTGTTATAACACTGATGGGCATTCAGATGCAGACCCTAGCTCTGGTGTTATAACACTGATGGGCATTCAGATGCAGACCCTAGCTCTGGTGTTATAACACTGATGGGCATTCAGATGCAGACCCCAGCTCTGGTGTTATAACACGGATGGGCATTCAGATGCAGACCCCAGCTCTGGTGTTATAACACTGATTGGCATTCAGATGCAGATAAAGAGACATGTTGAAAGTAGCTTACTTTTGGTATTGATCTGAACACTTTCTAGACTTTCCCACATGAACTTTGTTTCATATTCTGTCAGGTCATGTACAATATGACTTGTGAGCTTTCCATTTACATTCTGTCTTGACCTTTTTCAATCAATACATGTTTGACAGACTGTTTCAATTGTCAATAAATAGCATCCAGCACTGACTACATCTTAAAGGTGAGCTTCAGTGCCTAAAATGATTTTGTGTGTTCTTGCTTTGAAATCTTTTTGTCTATTTTTTTGCAAAGTGTATACTTCTTTTTTCCATTGATCTAGGATGCTTCTGTACATCAAGGTGGAGAATGAACTATATTTATGTACATGTAAAGTAAAAACTGTATGATTCTTTTCACAGTTGACTCTGACTGTGTGGATGTTTCTGAGATTCAGCGTCGGGTGGAGTACGTCAGCAGTGTCAGGGCAAGAACAGTGAGTTTTTCAGCTATAACTTTTCTCTGTTATTATTAAACATCTTCGGGGATTCCGGGTAAGAATATAGGTCCACTCCAACCTATGCTTGCCGTAAGAGGCGACTATATGGATCAGGTCAAAGATCCGGGGTAGAATAGGTCTTCAGCAACCCATGCTTGCTGCAAAAGGTAACTATGCTTGTCGTAAGAGACGACTAACGAGATCGTATGGTTAGGCTCACTGACTTGGTTGATGCATGTCACTATATTCAAATTGAATAGATTGATGCTCATGACATCAGTCACTGGATTGTCTGGTCCAGACACGATTATTTACAGACCGCCGTCATATAGCTGGAATATTGCTGAGTGCGGCGTAAACAAACAAACAAACAATACTGATGGCATGAATCATGGCTCATGATTATAACCACTTGTGGACTGGTTCAGATACAGGTATTTAAGATCTGGAATGTCTAGAATAGCGCTGACAATTGCATTAAACAACATTCACTCACTAGTCCCCCCCCCCCCCCGAAAGTAATATTTTTTGTAATTCTTTTTGATAAGCTCGACATGACAAATGAACACTTCGTATTATCATTGTTTGATGGTGATTCATAAACACATGCTTAATTCATAAAGCATTAAGCCAGTTTACAAGATTAAAACTCAAGAAACTACCTCTTACAATGCAATCTGCCCTAGAACTGCAAGCTGTCAGGGTTAAACATGGTCACAAGTGTGGTGGCTGGTTTCTTCTAATGTCTCCATGATCTAGTTATATTACATAAAACTCTAGTCCAAAATGAGATCTGGATTAGTTGGACAGAACTTATGGTATCTTTCCTGGCATAGAAGGACACCCGTGAAGATCCAGGGTAGAATAGGTCTTCAGCAACCCATGCTTGCCGTAAAAAGCGACTATGCTTGTCGTAAGAGGTGACTTACGGGATCGGGTGGTCATGCTCGCCGACTCTGTTGATGTATGTCATTGTATCCCATGCTCATGATGTCAGTCACTAGACTGTCTGGTCCAGACTCAATTATTTATGACTGCTGTCATACAGCTGGAATATTGCTGAGTGCAGTGTTAAACAAACAAACAAACAAACATTCTTGCTATGAAATCTTGTAGGAAGTCTGGGTAAGAGTTGGTCCCCAACAGTCCATGGTGGTAGTAGGACTGGCTACCAAATGGAGCCGGTGGTCAGACTTGGTGGCTTAGCTGATTATGTGTCATTGTACTCCTACAACATGGATCATTGCTCACAATATCAATCACTTGATTGTCTGGTCCAGACTCGATTATTTACAGGCCGCTGTGATATGGCTAGAATATTGATGTGTGTGGCTTTAAACAATAAACAAACAAACACCTACCGTATATCGCTGTGTATAAGGCGACCCCACGTATAAGACGACCCCCCTGTACAGGCCTTCGAAATCAACCCAAAATCCTATACTCTGTGTATAAGGCGACCTGGAATGAAGCACATCACAAGTGCGCGCACAAACCTTATATGCAATAAAAATATGTTTATCTTGCGTTGTCTTTTTCTACGATGACTGGTCGCGTGTGTAACTCCAGCACATGTCGCCATTTTGTGTTTACACGGTGCGACACCAAATTGACGCCTGTAAAATAAAATTCATTTATGAAGTAATAACATAAGAACATATTTCAAGTTACGAGCCATTTATTTACGCACGCCCATTTTTCTTAATTTAATTAATTCACATCTATTACCCATCCATGGTCTACTCAAATACTCAACCATTCTATAATCCATTAAATCCACTACACGGCTTCCCTCTGACTATGAAAAGAAACAATGGGTTTGATCTTTGGTGAGAAAATGGGAGTAATTTAATCGCCAATTAACTATGTTGTATCTAACTAGGCTTATGTTTGTGTCACATTCAGCGTGTCTATTCAACATTCATTTATACACACCGTCTCCAACAGTTGTTAATACAACTGTAAAAACAACTGGAATTGATTTCAGCTTCACCGGTTATCACATGTTAGGTCACATGTGAAATATGCAAATGCTTACCGGTACTTCCGGCTCTCTACTCACGGATGTTGATTGTTTTACCGTGTCAGCTGGCTTAACATCCTGGATCGAGGCGAGGGTCATTTCGACTTTATTTGCAAAAAATATTCAACTTTATTCAAGGAAAACAGATACAAATCATGTTTATGTATGGAAATAGTTATTGGAACAGTTATTTAGGATGAAATGCGAAGTTTTATTGTCAAATGCTGGGCTGGCTATCGGACGCCGGTTGACATCGTCAGTGGAAGCTGAAAGTGACACACCTGGAAAAAAACGGGAGATCTTTGACTCTGTGTATAAGACGACCCCCCCTTCTTAACCCCCTCATTCTAGGTACGAAAAACCCGCCTTATACACAGCGATATACGGTATGCTATGAAGAACCAAATCTCTTCTCCCCCTACCCACCCATTTATCATTAAATTAGTGGTCTAATTATGTCTTGTTTAGGATCAATTATGTTTAAATGTAAATCCTTTAGCAAAATATTTCATTCAGATATAAAATATAGAAAATAAGTTAATAAAGTGTCTTTATCATGTTTATAAGATCAAATTAATTTTATTTTTGCTCAGCTGCAAATTAAGTATTGGTTCAATTTAAGCATTCCATCCTGTCAGCAGTGATGGGAAGAAGTGCCTCATCTTTTTTAAATACCATCTCGTCGTCATTATGCTTTTACTGATGTTTTTTTTAGTGGTGAGTCATTTGAATCAACTAAAGCACGCTCCACTTTTGAAGGTAGAGAGGCCATTGCAAGGTCAAATGAGGTTACTGTCGCAAAGCTTTTAAGGTAGAATGTAACTATGCTCTGTGGACAGGTCAAAGAAATAACCTAGAAACATTGTTTCATTGATGTATTCCTCATTAAAAGGCCTTATGGTCAAAGCTCGACTCTTGGCCATTTTAAATCTCTGAATAAATGGCTTCATTAATCGTATTTCGTCAAATCATATGAGTCATGGAACCTCTTTAAGAATGATGAAGAATGATGAAGCTAATAACGATGGAAACAATTGAATGAATTGTCTTATCATGTTACTGATATTGAACAAGATATATAACAATTTAAATTTTTTATTTGATATTCTGATGGTAGACAGTTTTTAATGTGTCATAAAAAACGACTAAGGAGGTTCTGCAAGATGCAGATGAAGACAGTCTGTCACATGCATCAGTCTTAAAAAACTTCCTGGAACCAATTAGTCCCAGAATGCATCTGCAGACATAACCCGCGGGAGTGATTAGTGAACGTTCGGTAAGGAGACCATTCAGTGTTTGACCATGCTCATACTTGAAATGCATGTCCATCTTGTGTTATTGATTTTTGCGATTTAACATGGAAAAGAATTTTGCAGACTAAAGTTTGGTGCCTCTGGTGTAATTCTGGTTTTAGGAGTTGTATGTTTGACAGATAACACATTGCACCTCCTGGGAACTGGAATCCGATAGCTTCTGTTTTTGTGGTCAGACTTTTTTGTGTCTAATAAATTATCAAGGAACTAGAAAAAGAAAGGTAATAACAAAAGATATCATTGTTCTTTGTTCTTGAGGAAATGGATAGAGTTAATATGGTTATTTTTGAAGAGTTAAAGTCTGCATTACAGTTATTGATGACATCATCTTCAGGGAAAATAACAAATATTTATTGAATTTAATGTTAAATCACATTTTACCATTTTAGTTTTTACAATTTTAGAAAATGATCTCTTGTGTAATTAAAAACAGTTATGATTTATGAACATAATAAAGCTGTGCATGGTTTTTAGGTCAAGTTTACCCTGAAAGTCAAACATTTACTCAAAGTATGTAAAAACGTGCATGCTGTTATCAAATCTGAAATATGACAATTTTCTTTCTTTGTCAGAAAACACAAAGTCTCAGAAAGCAGAACCTTTGAGGACAAGAATATAGTTCTTGTGCATGCAACAATGTCATTTTACAGATTAATGTGTTCAATTTGCAGACAGTAATCAATTTATGGAGAGAATTTAGAGCAAACTTACAGTGGGGATGAAAGTAGTGAATCTGTGTTTATCACTGTGCTGTGTTTTTAAATTTAACCTTGATTGAACTTGACATATTTCAACATTTTTTTAATACAGATAGATATTGTAATTCATGTTGTGTTTAGTACTGCTTACTTTAGTATTCAGTGGTGCTGATTTTGAAATATTGTCTTCAAAAGCTTGCCAAATGAAAACAGGAGGGAAAATTATAGATTTTTATTTGTCCCAATTGATAAAAAGCATTTCCTGACTTGAAAGTCAAGGGGCTTTATATTGTCCAGGCCCGCTTGTCTGGTGTCCGTCATCCCTCGTGTGTAGTGCGTCACAAACATCTTTACCTCTGTCCTCCTCTTCTCCTCCCCTCCACGGCAGCCATATTGAAAAAGCTACTTGTGGCAATTACTCAGTCCTTTTTGTTCAAACTGAATGCATTTTTAATACTTGTGTCATCAGTAGTAGAGCTCAGCATTTATGTTTTGTTTCTTTTGTAATATTTTAGGTTTTTTACCTTGTTTTGACCCTGTTTTGAGTATGTTCTTGAACTTTGTCATATTTACCTCTGAAAAATAACTACAAATCCAGGTGAGCTACAGAGCATATGGCACCATTATTATTTTTCTAAATTTTTAACAATAAAATCATCTTTTTAGGTTTAATCAATTGAGTTAAATTTTCTTCGCAGCCTTCCTTTTGTATGAATAAATGAATGAATATGAATTAATCTGAGACAGTGCAGCACCAAACCGTAATATGCTAAAGTTTTAAAATTATTCGAGCTTAAGAGTTTCATCAAAACTCTGATACTAAAAATTCAGTTTTCCACAGGTTTCAATTAGTCTCAGATCGTGTCTGTATGATTCATGAGACTATCAATATTTCCAATCACTGCTGTGTGTGTCCAATCGTCTGTAGCGTGATGATATGTGATGATGACATCCCGTTTCCTG